TGCAGACCTGAGAAGAACAGGCTGCCAGATGCCTACAGCSAGCACCTTGCAGCTGCTCTGTGCACCAGCCCTGACCTCACAGAGCTGGCTTTGTACCGGAACGCCCTGGGCAACCGCTGGGTGCAGCTGCTCTGCCTCCTCAGCACCTCAGGGGACCTTCTGGCCTGCCAACCACCACCTCTCTCCAGGGTCATGGTAGGATGGTGTATCAGTGTTCACTTGCTGCTGTCACAAAGTCCCCTGGTCTGGACACCCTCAACGACAGATCTGGGGGCTACAAGTCCAAGGTCAAGGTGGCMTCAGGGTCAGTTCTTCCTGAGCACTGTCTCCTTGGCTTTCAGAGGGCCGTCTGCCCCATGTCATCCCTCTGCACACAGCACAGGTTTGTGTCCTAATCACCTTTTTGCAGTGCTGAGAATTGAACCCTGGGCTTTGCACATGCTAGGCCAGCCCTCGACCACTGAGCGACACTCCAGCCCTCTCTAGTTCTTATTTTGAGACAGGCTCTGACTGACTTGCCCAGCCTGGCCTTGAGCTTGCTGTCCCCCTCCCTGCTTCAGCCTCCAGAGTCACTGGGGTGACACTGCATCCTTAAAATGGAACAGCGGGGCGTGGTGGCACAGACTGGTAATCCCAGGGACTTGGGAGGCTGCAGCAGGGGTTGCAAAGTGGAGGCCAGCCTGGCAACATACTGAAATCCTACTTTAATAAAAACATAAAAAGGGCTGGGCTGTAGCTCAGTGGTAGAGTGCGGTCCTAGCATTCGGAGTCGCCCTGGGCTCGACCCCCACAAATGAGAGGAAGGAAAAAAGAAGAGACTTAAATTCCTTTTTTAAGGGCAGTCTCTGTGAACACATTTCATTGATGATAAAGCACTAAACATTTTATATTATTTTTGTTGCTTTAAAGTTTTTTCGTCTTTTAAAATTTGAGAGCTAAAGCCAGGCRTGGTAGCAAAAAATGCCTATGATTCCAGCAGCTTCGGAAACTGAGGAAAGAGAAGCACAAGTTCAAAGCCAGTCTCGACAACTTAGCAAGGCCCTAAGCAACCTAATGAGACCCTGTCTCAAATTAAAAAGTAAAAAGGGCTGGGGATGTGGCTCAGTGGTTAAAAACCCCTGTGTTCAATACCTGGTGAGAGAGAGAGAGAGAGAGAGAGAGAGAGAGAGAGAGAGAGAGAGAGAGGATAACAGATGAAATGATGCATTCATTGTGTATAATAACACGATGCTTTAAACTAGAGGTATCACACAGGGGACAGAGCTCCATGATAGAACACTTGATTAGCATGTCCAAGGCCCTGGCCTTGATCCTTGGGGCTGCCCAAAAAATAAAAATTAAAGTAAAATATATATGATTGTAGAATGACAAACTCTARCTAATCAACATATCACCTGTAAAGTGATCATATTTGTGGTGAGAACATTTAAAATCGACTCTTAGCATTTTTCAGGAATATTTTTTGTTACTTTATTAAGTATCAAGTTCACATACCAGAAAATTCAGTCAGTGTGTAGATTTCAGCATTTTCAGTATATTCACCGTGATGCAAACATCACCACGACGTCCATAGCATTTTCCTGACTCTAAATGAAACCCCATACCCATTAATGATCTCTCTACCGCCACACCCCACAGTCCCTAACTGCCAGAATCTCCTTTCATTTTTTGGCACTGGGAATTGAGCCCCTGGGTGCTTAACCACTGAACCACATCCCCAGCCCTTTTTATTTTTTTATTTTGAGACAGAATCTCACTAGCTTGCTTAGGGTCTCATGACATTGCTGAGGCTGCCCTTGAACTTGCAATCCTCCTGCCTCAGCTTCCTAAGTCACTGGGAGTACAGGTGTGCACCACCACACCTCACTTTTTTTTTTTTCCTTTTAGTTTTGCTTTGTTGGCATTGCTGGGTCTCAAGCCCATGGTTTCATGCATGCTAAGCAGGAGCTCTACCTGTGCAGAATTCCCAAAACTGCTGCAAAGGAGATGACCTGGCTCTTCTCCTTCCTTCTACCACAGGCTGGAGAGGTGCTGCTTCTCCAGCTCCGCCTGCCAGGACCTGGCCACAGCCCTCACGGCCAATCAGAATTTAATAAGGATGGATCTAAGTGGCAACGACCTGGGACTTCGGGGCATGTCCCTGCTCTGCCAGGGGCTCCGGCATCCCCAGTGCAGGCTGCAGATGATTCGGTGAGTCCTCCTCCCTGGAATACGGGCTCGGTTTCATCTTGTTTTAATGAAAATATTAATACGCATTAAATGAGTACTAAATGGGGTCCAGTGTGATATTTACAGACATATATGGGGTGTGCACTGATCACATTTGCCTCCCCCTTCCACCCCCTGGGAAGAAGCTCTCAAACGGCGAGTCCTCCAGGCAACCTTGCTGTCGCCGTAGCTGGAAAGAACCCCAAATGCTGAAGATCCCCAAGTCTGTTCCTCAACACCAGGGCTCAACCTCAAGCCCATGGCCTCACACCTCTGCCCAACACCTAGGCACGTTCAAGTCACTCTCTGGCCTCTGACTCCACCCTCTTCTGCATGGCCAGGAAGCCCTGAGCGACCTGTCCACCCAGAACCCTCACCTTCCTACTGGCCTGAGCAGTGGGAACCCCAGAGCTGCCTAAACAAACAGACTCGGGTAGTGGGACCCCTATTTCCCACAATGCCACCCRCACCCCACTCCTCCCGAATTCTGCTTGGCCCTTGAGAACCAGCCTAACTCCCCCTGGGCTCCTCCCAAGCGGCACACCCTATCTGCCAAAGCCCAGTTCCAGGCGCTGCCTTTGAGATGCTTTTAATAACAGTGGTTCAGCTTACGGAGCTCCCAGGAGGGGCGAGGCCCAGGTCTGTTCCCTCCATTCTCAGGTCATCCAACCCTAGCAACCTAAGGAAGCAGGCACAAGGCAGCACGGGAAACACAAAACTCCAAGTCCCAGGGCAGGAGGTGGTGCCCCGGGTGCACACGCAGAGGCTGAGCTAGGACTCCCCTCTCCTGGGCTGCAGTATGCCCACGCGGTGGTGCAAGTACCTGGGAAGCAGGGCGCTCCCTGCCGGGCCTCATCTCTGAAGTCCGCTCTGTGCCCATGGCTTCCACACCCAGGGATTCCACCAGCTTCCACTGAAAATGTTCAAGAAGGAAAGTTGCTTCTGTACAGAACATGTACAGTTTTTGTTTCTGTACCATCCCCAAGCCACTTCCCCAGCAGCAACCCCCTCACGTTTTTCCCCCTTTGGTACCAGGGATTGGACCCCGGGGCACTTAACCACTGAGCCACATTCCCAGCCCCTTTTTATTTTTTATTTTGAGACAGGGTCTCACKAAGTTTCTTGGTGCCTCACCAAGTGGCTGAGGCTGGCCTTGAACTTGCCTCTCCTGCCTCAGCCTGTAAAGTCCCTGGGATTACAGGTGTGCACCCCTGCGCCTAATCATACAGACTTTGTCATTTTTGCCTAAATGACACAGTGTAACAACTGTTTTTTGTAGCATTTACATTGTATCAGGTATTATAAGTCATATAGGTCATCGTTTAAAATGCACAAGAGGGGCTGAGGATGAGGCTCAGTGATGGAGCATTTATCTGGCTGGCCCCGAGTTGGATCCCCAGGTCTACAAAAAGAAAAATAAAGAAAAATTAAAGATAAAATACATAAGAGGACATGTGCAGGTTATATGAATACCATGTAATTTTATATAAGGGACTGGACCCCCTGCACATGGTATCCTCAAGGGCTCCTAGACAAGTCCCCAATGGATGCTGAGTGACCAGGGGATGGATCTGTGCAGGGTGATTGACAGGCCAGGCATACYCAACCTGAAGGCAGAGAAGCATCTTTCCCCTCCCAGGTTGAGGAAGTGTCTGCTGGAGGCTGGGGCTTGTCAGGAGATGGCATCTGTGCTGAGCACCAACCCACATCTGGAGGAGCTGGACCTGACCGGAAACGCCCTGGAGGACTCTGGCCTGTGGTTGCTGTGTCAAGGACTGAGGCACCCAGGCTGCAGGCTGCGGACCTTGTGGTGAGTGCTTGGAGGGCAACTCCCGTGGCAAACCCGGTTCCGCCGAGTGATGTGGAGGATTGCATCCACCATGTGCCCAGCATTCCCCTGTCACACAGCCCAAGGTGGAGGCCACTACGTGTCCATGGGGGAATGACTGCATGGAGACAATGTGGTCTACACAATCTGACAATGTTAAGTGAAAACGGGAAAGAATCAACTTTGTCTTGCAAAAAAAAAAATTAAAGTGCTACTTTTTTGGGGGGTGTGTGGTTTACTGGGGTTTGAACCCAGAGGTGCTTAACCACTGAGCCACATCTCCGCACTTTTTGTTGTTTGAGACTGTCCTCACTAAGTTGCTTAGGGCCTTGCTAGGTTGCTGAGGCTGGTCTTGAACTTGCAATCCTCCTGCCTCAGCCTCCCAAATTTCTGGGATTACAAGTGTGCATCACTGCACCTACCTAAGAGCCTTTTTTTTTTTTTTAAGTTGTAGATGGACACAATATCTTCATTTTATTTATTTATTTTTATGTGAGGTTAAGAATCAAACCCAGTGCCTCACATGTGCTAGCAATTTCTCTACCACTAAAGCCACAACCCCAACCCCCAAAGTACCACTTTTAAGATCCTAAATTAAGGGGAGGGGCACAGTATGGGCAACATAGTTATAACCTGTCTCCTGAAAAGAAAGGAGAAAAGAGAGAAAAAGAGGACTAGGGATGTGGCTCAGGGATTTGGTACTTGCCTAGCCTGCACAAGGCCCTGGGTTCAATCCTCAGTACTGCAAAAGAAAACAAGCAAACAAACAAAAAGGTGTTGTATCCATGCAATGCAATATCATTCATCCTTAAAAATGAAAGACTTCTGGGCTGGGGATATAGCCCAGTTGGTAGAGTGCTTGTTTCACATGCATAAGGCTCTGGGTTCGATCCCCAGGACCACACACACACACAAAAAAAGAGTGACTTCTACCACCACATACATCCTGAAGCTTTATATTAAGTGAAATTTACCAGACATAAAAGGACAAAAATTGTGGGATTCCACATGTGTGAAATACTCAGAACCATCAAATACATGCAAGGATCAATGGAGCACACCTGTAATTCCAGCTACTCAGGAGGCTGAGGCAGGAGGAGGATGCAAGTTTGAGGTCAGCCTCAGCCACTTAGTGAGACCCTGTCTGAAAATAACTAGTGGCTGCCGTGTAGCTCAGTGGTCAAGCATCCCGTGGTTCAGCCTCCAACCACCACACAACAAAGAGCGGTACCTTTAACTTGGGGTGGGAGTTCAATTCAACTCCACGCAGAACACCCTCCACKTTTGCTGCTGGGTCTTCTGTAGGTTGAAAATCTGCCATCTCACCGCTGCTGCCTGTGAAGACCTGGCCTCCGCCCTCAGCGTGAACCAGGGCCTGACCGAGCTGGATCTGAGTCTGAACGACCTGGGGGACTCTGGAGTGCTGCTGCTGTGTGAAGGCCTCAAGCACCCCGAGTGCCATCTCCAGACCCTGCGGTGAGTGCCGCTGTGCACCCCCTCACACACTTCTCTGTGCTCTCGGAGGCCAAGCAGCCTCCCCTCCCACCCGAATTCTCCCCACTTCAGCTCMCTCCAAAGATGCTCTGCCAGAACGTGGCCTTTGCATGGTCTGTTCTGGCTTCCCGGCATGACCATCAGCTGTGCTGTCCTCTGTGCCGTCCTCGGCTGTCCTGCTGAGAAGTCTGGCTCATCTTTTATGATTCAGGACAAATTGTCACTTCCCCGTGGGGGCCCTGTGGATTCCGAGTTTCGTAATTCTTCATAACCTGACTCTTTCTCTCAGGTCACTTAAGAAAGTTTGTGATTTGGGTGTGTCCTGTGTGGCTTGGCAAAGTGCAAGAGCGGTGTCCACTCTAGCTCTTAGTGGCTAGTGAGAGACCTGGCCTTGGTCATCATGAGCAGCAAGGGAAGTGWTGCTTTGGAATTACTTGGTGTTATGGGTTGAACTGAATCCCCCTCTTCCGAATTCCCTGGTTGAAGTCTGAACCCTTAGAAAAATAGCTTTTTATATTGACATTCCTCCCCAGYGCTGGGAATGGAACCTGAGGCCTCACCTGCTCCAGGAAAAGTCCTCTGACACTGGGCTCTATAGCTCCAGCCCCAGAATGTGGCCTTATTAGGGTCTGGAGCTGCCCTAACAAAACACCCAGACTGGGCGGCTTTGGGGACCAATCCACCCTTTCAGGCTCAGGTGGCAGGAGTCTGAGTCAGGGTTTGGCAGATTGGTTTCTCCTGAGGCCTTTCCTGGTGGTCTCCAGATGACCACCTCACTGTGCCACCATGTGTTTATCCCTGTACCTGTGTCCTGAGGTCCTGTAAGGGACACAGGCCATGTTGCATCCGGGCCATCCCAGTGACCTTTTTAAAACTCTGTCACCTCTTTCAAGACCCCTTCAAACCCGAGCACAACTGGGAGTGTGCACACCTGTCATCCCAGCAACTGGGGAGGCCAAGGCGGGAGGATCTCAAGTTCAAGCCCAGCCTGGACAATTTAGCAAGACCCTGTTTCAGTATTTAAAATATATATATTTTGGGGGGGTAGGTGGGTGGGGTGTGTGTGTGTCAGTGGTACAGTTCCCCTGGGTTTCACTCCTGGTCCTGGAAAAATATCTGGGAAAACTTTATTCAATTCGGTAGTGGTTGGCACAGGCCTGTGATCCCAGCCACGAAGCAGGYTAAGGGGAAGGTTTGCTGGTTGAAGGCCAGCCTCACCAACTCAATGAGGCCGTTTCAAAGCGAAGAATAAAAAGAGCCAGGCTCTGAGGCCCAGACCCTAGGACCCCGARTTCAAAGCCAGGCCTCAGCAACCCTGAGGTGCTAAGCAACTCAGTGAGACTCTRTCTCCAAATAAAATGCGAAATAGGACTGGAAATAGTGAGACTCTATCTCCAGAGGTTGAGCGCCCCAGAGTTCAATCCCCTGTATTCCCCCGCCCCCCC